TCTGGTAACATACAATGTCAATGCCCCACCATATCACAAATTTTCTATTACTTTGAATGTCAGTGCTCTGCTGCAGGTTAAGATGAAGCTGCAATATGTGCAATGATGCTTCTCATTGTTAGCAGTGTGTTTTAAAAATAAATTAGATTGTTCTGTGTGATGTTGCAGGGCATTACATGGAAAGGCTAGTTTTCAGAGGAGGCCCTGCACTTGGAACACCACTGAGCCCACCATCCTTGGGCAGCCAACTGGACGTGGGGTTCTGCTAGAGTCCAAAGATCTGGTGTCACTTGCCCCAAGCCTCCTTTTGCACCTACTGTACCATCCTGTTTCAGAATGAATGAAAAACAGCTTTTGTACAACATATGTTCAGCTCCTATAGTAAGCTATTTTTGAAGTTGGAAGGCCTCAGGCATTACTATCCTTTCAAGCCATACACAAACAAAGAGGGTTTACCACAAAAAAGAGCCTCTGCTGATGAGTGTAAGGTTTACTTTTGCTCGCTCACTCAAGATCCTTATTTCATCAAGTTCTATAAAATTTCAATTGATTCAGTTTCACCTTATCGTTGAATTCTTATTGCTACCTGACCTAAGGTCAACTATACTTTCAAAATAAATAAAGGTATAATGCAATCAACTGTTAAGTCTGAACTACTGCTATTTCTGTTGTACATCAGAACACAGTGGGTTTCCAGTGTAGATGCTCTGCTATAAACAGGATAATAGTGATCTAGAGGGCTCTGAATGTGCATGTGCACAAACCAGAGGTTACAGACAAAGGTCTATGCCACGCCATCTACACTGCTGGGGTAGGAGCCCGCTGAGCACTTCTCGCTCTAAGCACAGGATGCATATCCTAGGAGAGGTCTTGTTTCTAGCTGCTGTTTCCAGTCAGCTTCCTGCCCTTTCTCTTGCTTTCCAGCCTGGCAGCAAGAAAATGTGAGTGTGATGGTGTGGAGGGAGCTGCATCTCCTGCTGGCCCACATCTGTTGCCATTAGTTTCGGCCTTACACAGGACGAGGCTATGCCCATTTTCAGCAGGGGAGGTGGCTGCCACTCACACCTAAGTGTTTGCTCTTCTTGGAGTCCCAGGACATGTGCAAATCTAGGTGCTAACATATCCAGCTACCTTTGAGGCAGGTATCCCTCAGGAAGACACCTGCCTGGCCCTCACACCTGAACAGTTTACTGTAACAAAAATGTTAATGCACACTGTTGGACATAATCCGATACATGATAAAAGAGGCACCAAACCCCAGTCTCCTGCCTCCTTCCCCATAACCTCTAATCAATCTTCTTATCTCCTTTTATGAGGAACTTGTGAGGAAGTCTACATCAAAGGAAAACATACATTTTTATTTTGCTTCAGATGTGCTAACAATATTTATTAAAAACATTTCTGGCCAAAATACCAAAAATCACCTGATGTTTAATTATAAAAATACCACAATTTAATTTGAAACTTTACCGTAACTACAGTCTAAAAGTGAAACTAAAAAAGTGAAAGTTCCTTGTTGTTTTATGATACACAGGCTGAAAGAAATGCAGAAAGTAAACAAAAAAAGCACACGTAAACATATATTTATAAAAATGTATCTTGAATTTTAAGATACATTTGCACCAGAGGGAAAGGTGGCAATTTATAAGACTTTTGATAGGAAAAAAACAAGTGTGATCATACAAGTTGTTAGACACTCTTTTCCTTGCAGATTCTGTGACAAACACAGAAAAAAATAGGAACATGTAGGTAGAGACTGCTGCTGAGATTTTCCAAAGCCTAAAAAAAAGTATGCAACTATCTCCTATACATTCAGAAAATCCTGGTGTTTAGGCTTACTGCTCTTCTCACAGCTGAACTTCCTTCATAATTCCTTTTCTATTTGGTTATGCCTAGTTAACTGACGTTGGCAATCCTCAGCCCAAGCCATGCCAGCTGAACAGCAGATAGCAACAGGAAAACAGTAAGGAAGAAGACAACACATATTTGATTGACATCAACAGATTTGATGTTTAACCAGGATTCTTTAAACTTTCTTCACATGCTTTTAAACTTCATCTTGAGGTTTATGTTTGTAGTGGAGGTACAGGAAATCAAGTAATTCAACTTGTATTTACCATTTATTTAATTACTTTTATTAAATTACCTATCTAATTCATGTAAGGGGGAAAAAAAAACCCTCTGGAACATGCAGTTACACTGTTTACTCTGTCGTTGATGCAATTACTATAAATAGGCTCAAAGACATCACTAATTAATAAAGTTGGAAGGGTAATGTAAGAAAAAATCTGCTAAGGCATATGATATATAAGTTGAGTTGTAGAAGGGTGATTTTTCTTTTGGGTTTTGGCAAGAATATATTATAAAGAACCCTCACACATAAAAGTCCCCCAAGCTACAGATGCTTGGGAAATAAAGCAAAATAGTAGAGTTGTGGCTTGTTTCTAGATAAATTTTAAACATTAAGAATGAAGAACATCAGTGCAGTGCATGCACACACCTTACTGATTTTAGTGGGGTTTATATATGCAGAGTGAGATGTGGAAGATTGACCTTTAAACCTGGAACAGAGGTGTCATTTCTCTCTCTGTTTTGAACACAGTAAGAAGTGTTTTATTTGCAATTTTATGTAATCTTATAAACCAAATGTAGAGGATTCTTTTCTCAGTCTGGGATGAAAAAATGTGTTTCTTCAGTCACTGGAAATGTAGCCTTGCAAAAAAAAAAAAACTATCAGAAGAAAATTGTGCATATTAACAACTCTCCTGAGAGCAATAAAAGATATTCTTTGCATTTATTCAGCAAATTTACATCCAAATCAGGAAGACGTTTGATTTATCTCAGTTAATACTGAAATATTTGCAAGAATCAATAAGAGATGTTGATCAATGTCTCCTGCAGAAGAAGGTTTTTTTTGTACCTCTCTGGGATACTGTAGGCAAAATAACCACACTGCTTCAGTGAAACATGGGTGGTGGTTTTTTAGTTTTTG